CCATTGTGTGGATACCAGTTATGGTGTTTAGAAAGGCCGAATTTGAGAACCTATAAGAGTAACTGGCTCCATAACGGTTAGTTATTTTAAGGTGTCTCCTCTAAGATTTATGTAGAACAATATGGAGCTTTGGTCGATCCATATTGTAGCTGAAGTGACCTATTAAATAAGGTATGCAGTTAAGTGTTAAAATCAGTAACTGATTATTACAATGGTACGTAATACTTAAAGGGTAGTTGATAGACTATTCCCATAAGTGGCTTAGTTTATGCATGCTAAGGCAACGGCAAGCTCACACCCAAGCTATTCTACCTTGACATTAGTACTAGATTTTCCTATTTTAAAACATGAGAAATCAATCTAGCTTATACTAGCTATTGTTTCTAGCCTCTATGTTAGTCGTTAATTTTTGGCCCCTATTGTGATTCGATAGGATCAAACCACTTAAATTGTTCACTATTGTTGTAAGAGATCTCAATTAGATGTTACGCATGACGACACATTTGTTGTTAAGTTTTTTGGCAATTATTATTGGTGTTTAATAATTGCTTCATTTTTAACTATTGCTTAGTTGTGATTAAAATTGAAAGGTGTTGTGATGTGTTTGAAGCTATTTATCATTCATACTTGTTTGTTAGTATGATGATCCGTTGTTAGCTTATTCATTAGTGAATGATTTTGGTTGATGTTTTATTTCAGTTAACTATTATTTAATTATTATGTTTATTCTTTCACAAGCTTAATTTTTCTCTTCCTTGTGGTTGAAATTGTAATGATCTTACTTGATATAAGAGTAAGGCAAGATTAACAGGTTTTCTTGGTTAGTTGGTGGATGCAGGTGTTGGCCCAATTTTGGCGATGGTACTCCAATGTAGCTTAGTCTTGTATAGATGCTTAATCGGTGATTGGTGTTTTATTTTATATACAATGGTGTATTTTATGTATATTGTATACATGTGCAAGGTATATATGTAACCCCATAAGAAAATTTTTGATTTCCAATCATGTGCAAGAATTATTTTGGTGTTCTTAATGAAAAGTTGAGAAATTGATGATTTTCTTGAGATGTTGTTGATGCATGTGTATTCTCCTTTAATTTCTAAGTTGTATGGTGTTAGAATTGGAAGATTTAGGGGTTGCATGTATGGATTCTTGCATACGTTGAGAGGATTTAGAGGTTGGAATGTTCTTCATCAATGCATAAAATTCTAGGTTTTTGAGGCTGACTGTGGGTTAGCATGCTCAACATGAGAATTGGGAAGTGCCTTTGGAAGCTTGAGGCTAAGTATGAGATTTCACGCTTAGCGTGGTTGAGGCTAAACCTAAGTTTTCACGCTTAGCATGAGGGATGGATGTGCCTCTGGGTGGCTGAGGCTAAGCGTGAGCCTCACACTTAACATGAGAACTCAATTTTTTTTTTATATAACTCTCTAGAAGTCTAACACTGAGTATGAGATTCCATGCTTAACGTGGGGACTTAGTCAAGTATTTTCCTTTCTAATTTAATTGATTGTTTACTTGATGGATGAATTGGGTGATGAACACTTGTTGTTGGTGTTGTTTTATGGCTAAATGATGATGAATATGTTATATGTAGTATGGTAGTAATAAGCATTGGTATTATATATTTGTATAGTTGAAATGGTGATGAGCATTGATACGGCTTGTGTGATTGATATGTTATTCTTGGTTGACGTATTGAGCATTAGTATGTTGTACATGATTGTGTGATTGATCTTTATATGCATTGACCTATGGTAATGTGTATAAAAGATGTATTTTGAGGATTTGATGCTAAAAATGTTGTAGATATTAAAGCATGTTGATTGACTTAGGACTAGAAGAGAAAGTGTTGTTTAAAAAACCCTCCTTGAGTAGGTGTGAAACTCTTGGAGTGGATTTTATTGAATCTCCCCTAGGTTCTTAGTCAATGTGGAGTAAAATATGAAGTTGAAGGCACAATCTTTATCTGATCATTGGAAAGGTTGTGTGGTTCCTTGCGGATAGTTAGTGGACCAACTCCACATGTGACTTGGTAATGCATGCCAAGATTGTGGTACGTCTATATCCAACTATACTATTTTTGACAGTGGAACTGAGCTTTTTTAATGTAAGTGGAAACACCTAAGAAATCAAAAGTTAGGGATTGATATCCCATTTTAGTTGTGATCGAGAGTGGGCACATTTTGGCATGAAAATGATTGAGTTAGTTTGGTAGGGTCAAGTCACTTAGACTATTCTAGTGTATTAGGAAATCTCCGTAGGTGAATGTGTCATGACATATTAGTTGAGGCATATACATATGATGTGTTGTTAATTTGTGTGTTCATATGCATTACATGGAATATAGTATTGTATGATATGTTTTGGTGCATAGCTTTCAAATATGTTGATGTTGTGTTGTTTGGTGGATGTTGTAAACTATGATGTGTGTTTTGGTTGGTTTACATGATATATAGTAGTATAGATGTTCTTTCCTATAATAGTATATTTTTGAAATCTAGTTAATCCTTGTGTGTTTTCCATATGATATGAATTGCGATAATCATGATTTTTATACAAGCAGGACAAAGTTAGCTAAAGAGCAAGCTAGTAGAATTGGTGGGCCAAGTATTGATTAACGATATAATTGATAACTATTTTTATAAATTGTATAATAATGTTTGACCGACACTTAAAATTTTATATTATTTTATATTAGATGACTATACATATATTATATATATTATATATATTTATAGAATTATTCTTAGTTATATTTATATACATGTCATAATGTACATTTTTATGTAGAGTGAAATAAAATCTTAAATATTTGAGTAATTTTATTATTAATTAGTAATTTTATAAAATGTATGATTATGACGAGTTGAAACATCTATTATTTGGAAGAAAAAAAATTATATTTTATTAAGGACGCTGGACGACTTAAAGAAAACGCAGTTAATGAAAATGAAAAATTAAAGGACGAATAATTAATGAAAAGAAGTAGAACTGTACAAGTAAGCGAAACAAAATTGATTCTTAGTTATTCACGGAACTGATGTGATTTTAAAGCATGCGTTAATCAAGTTAATAGTCCTACTATGCTTTTTTGAAAAATGCTACATAACGTTTATGCCAAATAATCTTTCGGATTATTTAAAAGGTGATATCATTTAATTGATTTTAGTATAAAATATTAATTTAATTTAATAATTGTAAACATTTATAAGTTAGCAGATTATTCAGTTTTCGGAAGTCGAAGCATTTTTCTTATTTTTTTTTACTCAAGGTAATGATGTTCATTAGACTCATTTATTTTACTAATTATTTAGTTTATAGTTTTTTTTTAGGTTAGATTATTATTAAATTTTTTATTTAGCACTTTTACTTTCCTATAACATTAAATTTATAATTTTAATTCTATAATTTTAATCCGTTTTAAAATTCATAATTTTATCCATTCACTAAATGCTTATATGTTGATTCTTAGAATTTTAACATTAATAAACAATATTTATTATTAAATAAATGATATGATTATTAATATTCAGTGATATTTATTTAAATTAATTTTTTTATTTTACTTAAAAAATAATAAAATGAAATAAAATTAATAAGTAAAAGTACAATATATCACCATCATTAAATTTTAATAATTATGTCATTTATTTAATATCAAATTGACAATAATATTATAATTTTAATACTCAACATATCAATATTTAAAAAAAAATAAAAATTACATAAAATTGAGAGATTAAAATTATAAAGTTAAAAATATAAGAACTAAATTGTTAATTTAATATTATAGGAGATTAAAAGTATAATTTATTTACTTTTCAATAAAATCCAAATAAAAAAGTTATGATAGTGGGTGATATAATATCTAAATAAATGCATAATAATGACAATTTATTTTGACAAATACAAGTTTTCGTATTTTTTTAATAAAAAGTATAACACCATCTTAGTATATTTTTTTATTAATATTAATTTTAAATAGAAAATAATTTGTTTCATAAATTTGGAATGCATCATGACAATTCATCTATTAAAACATGTTAAGTTTGAATAACATGTTTACACGCTGTTTTAAGGCTATGTTTAAATAACTATTTACACGTTAAAACATGTTAAGTTCGAATAACATCCTCACAAAAAAGAAAGAAAAAAAAATGCTAGATTGATGTTCATCTGTTAAAACATGTTAAGTTTGAATTATTACCATTTACACACCATTTTATGCGGTTCATGGTGACTAATGAGAGTGGTAAATTGACGTTTATGGTTAAGTTTGAATAACCACCAATGACTTAAAAAAAAATTATGTTCATCAATTAAAATCTTTAAGGTTAAGTTTGAAAAGCCGTTTAGGTACCGTTTCTTACAAAATTCAACGTAACTAAAGAAAATGGGTGAATTGACGTTAAATTGATTTTATCATAAAATCAAACATACACTTCAAGCATTTATATTTGGCCGTTTCACCAAAGAATTTTATTTAATTTTTATATAATACATTTCAAGATTAAAAAAAAAAAAAAAACACTTGCAGTCATAAAAAATCTTAAAACAAAAAGCGGTTAGTAAAATGGCTCCGTGAAAATGCGGTTTGATGCTTTCAATAGAGACAAGACAACATTCTACGTTATTCTGTGTTTGTATAAACAATTTTATTCATTTTTTGTTGCAAAAACAATTTTATTTCTTTACATTGTGTGTTATTTCCTTTTAAAATAACAAGATAATTCTAAATGTGCCTTTTTTTATAATTAATCAATTTTAATACTTTAATATTTTAGATTTCACAAAAAAGAATGAAATTCACTAATTAGTAATTATATATAAAAAAATATAGATTAAAATCACAATTTTTGAAATATGAAGAATAAGACAAATTTTGACTGAAACTGAATTCTTTCATCAGATTTTTTTCGCACATAGTTTAAAAAACAAATCTTGATGTCTGTAGTCGAAAGATCTGAGTATTGAGTTTGATTGAGAAGGAAATGTATTGATATGATTAAAGGTTGCAGAATAAATTTGCAGCTACACAAGAGAACCAAAAAAGGAGAAGAAAAATAAATGAAGAGAAAAAGGAGAGTGAGGAGGTGACAAAAGAAAAAGACTAAAGAGAAAAAGAGCCAATTTTAGCTGGGCATGATTCTAAACTGATCCGAAACCAACGAAAAAAGCGGAAGATCATGCAAACTTGCACTTAAAAGCTCGTATTTGCCTCATTCTCTTCCTTCTATTAGTCCACGCTTCATGCTTCCTACCCATTACTCTCACTCTTTTCTCATGCCATCTTCATGGACACCTCTTTGCTCACCCACCTACTACTCCTCAACAACACCCTCCAACCAGGTATCTGCCCATGCATCTCATCACCCAGATTTTTTTCACTTGTCATTTTCATTCTAAGTTTCGCTTTTCATTTTAAAAAATGATTTTTTTTTCCTGGGGTGGCGGAATTTCGTTGTTTGTTTATTTATTTCCTTTGTGGGGGTGTGTGAATTGCAGAGTTAATGAGGAGCGTGCATGTGTACCGCCAAGGGGAGGGGGAGGAAAGGGAAGTTGAAAGAGAGTTTGTGTTTTCAGAGAGTGGTTCCTATGGGGAAATGCAGGCTACCCCAATTTTTAGATTGAAGAAATCTTGTGTTTCTGAAGTGTGTGAAGGGTACCGGAATGGAGTGTGGCTTTGTATATTTGCGTTTCATGTTGATCATACACCTCAATTTTCAGGCATTCCACCCCTTTTGTTGGTCACAAGGTATATCTGCTGGGCCCTATATTTTTCTTTGACATTAGTACAAGGTTTTAAAAAACAGTATGCGGCTGAAACCATCAAGGCTTTTGGTGTCACCACAACCTCAATAGCCAATTGAGGCCATATCAGCCACATTTGTATGCAATTTCTTACAAAATTTGCGACGAAAACACAATCACCAGCCAATTGTGGCTGTATCAGCTGGTTGACCGACTGATACACAACCACCAGCCAATTGTGGCTGTGTTGGCCGGCCAATTACAGTTGTATCCGTCGGTTGTATCAGCTGCATTTGTGTGCAATTTCCCACAATAACATCAGTGACGAAACCATGACCGTCAGCCAATTATGGCTGTGTTGGCTGTATTTGCCTCCAATTTCCCATAACATTACAACGAAAATACAACCGCAACTGCAATTTAAATGTTGTATTAGTCCTTCTTAGTTAGCCTTGTTTGCTCCTTACTCCTTTGAATTAGATAACACCCCCCACCCCCCCCCCTC